AACAGTCCCAGTAAACTCGAGAAACCTCTGATTTAGGTCTAATGCTGAAAAGTTTAGTATCATTAATTTGCCTTGTAAGGTTAATCACTGATTCAGCTACCCACACAACTTAAGGGACTTATGCCCCTAAATATCAGCCCTACTGTCTGACATTCCACCATTATGCCTCCTTTCCTTTGTGTCTTAAAGGTTTTTCCTTGTTCACCATTTCTTCATTGCAAAGTAAATAGCATTTGAAGCAGGAGTTGGAGGGAGGCAGGAGGAGAAGAGAAAAGACACATTTAAGCCTTTTCTTTATCCATGTTCTTGATTTTCATGAGCACGTCATATTACCAGAGATTGCTTAAGAGAGAGATAGGAGGTGGCCTAGGGGGATGGAGATCTCTGAGAAGGATAGGAGTGAGGGTAGCGCAGCTGATGGAACAGGTGGGAGGAGAGAAAAGATGAATTTTGTCTAGTGTGTCTCATTCGATTTGAACAACAACTCTATGTGTAATTGTTATTCCCATTTTATTGATGAGAAAACTGAGGGTGAGAGAAACTTACTCACAATCTTATCCATTTTCTTTTGGTCTGTGCTATTCTTCTCGAGAATATTAATTTCAACATTTTGTCTGAAAGCAGGATATAAAATTACATATATATTTGACTATAATTATATACAAAAGATTAAGTGAAAACATAAGAAAAAGAATATAACTAAATGATAATAAATTGTGATTTTGACAGGTGGGGTAAGGGATGCCTTTTTTCTTATTCCTAGTTTTCTGTGTTTTCCATAATACGCATGATTACTTTCATATTGTCAATAGCAACAGCAACAAAAGGCGTGTATGGCTTTAAAAAGGAAAACTGCTATTGTTTCCTGGGCTGCCAACATTCCTCTAGTAAGGTAGAAGGCTTTTAGACGTTTATGGAAACAAAGACTGTTTGGTATTTTAAAGGCTTGTTTGGTCAAATAAAACCCATAATGAAAATTTTGCCATAAACTTTTGGTGCTTTGATTTGGACTATGTCACACAATTTTGCCACCAGTTATACTGTAAGAAAAGAAAAGTACATTAGAGTGTGACTCAACTGAAAGCAAAACTGGTAGCCTGATCTGTAAAATATTTTGCATACCCTGCATCCTGCGGAAAGCAAATATTTGAATTGAATGTGTTTGTTCACATTCTAGTCTTTTACCAAGATGTTTCTGCGCCCCCAAAATACCAAAAAATCCAATCAATTCCTTTGAAATCTACAATCAATAGTAGAGAGATTTTATCTACACAATGCTGAACACCTGAATTGATGGAACTGAGAGAATCTTTTGGCACTGTGTAGACAGAGCTGAAATGTGACAAAGGTGACAATTTAAATGGTGTCTCCTCAATATCAAAATAATCAATTGTAAAGCAAAAGATTCAGTCAATCAGATAATTCTTTTGTCTACACAATTCCAAGCCGTTAGTTTGAGTAATTTATTTCATTGAATTTACCAAATATTTAGTTGGCTTCCTAAAATACAATTGAATCTCTGAATCATAGGAAGAAAAAGATTCTGGCCTGGATTTTCTGAAAAGGGGATAAAAGTTAAAAACAAACAAACAAAAAAGGGACAAAAGTAATTTGTCCCTTACATACAAATGCTCTTGTATTTCCTTTTTAAATGTAGTTCTTTTAGGCTATGCACACTTGACTTTAAAAACTTGGTTAGAAAGTCCTGGCTCAGACAGAATATTTATTAAAATGTAAATTAAACTTGCCTGAAAGAAAAAGAATGCAGAGAAAACATTAACAGAGAAGTCTTTGGGTTATAGGAAGTGGAAGTTTGAACCTTTAGAAGATTTAAGAAAAGAACTATCTCAGAAGAGGAAAAAGCCAGATCTAGCGCCTCTGATTTGGGATGAGCTTGGCTCCCCTTTATGTCTATAATTCCCATTCATCAGGGGCACTACTGTTCTTCTAGACTGAGAACACATGTGCCACGCTGAATTGTCCTCTCTTCATCCTTTGTCTCGAATCTGTTCATATCTCACCCTTTATTTGAAACATCTCTTTGATTCACACCTTACTTTAAATTCTCCTGCTAGGAATGTTAATACCTTATGTCTGAATCACTACCAACAACTTCCAAAGTGGTCTTTCTGCCACCAGTCCCTCACCCTCCAAATCTGCCTTCTTCACAACTGTCGGATTTGTTACCGAAACACCACATTGCTCATTGCTGCTCCCTGCTCACCACTCACTGTCTCTGTTGCTTCCACACTAAGTTCTGTCTCATAGTTGGATTCCTCCACGGCCCTTTCTCTATTTCTCTCTCTCTCTTTCTCTTTCTCTCTCTCTCTCTCTCTCTCTCTCTCACACACACACACTTCTATCAATCCAATCTTACTTTTTACTGCTCCCTCAAATACATCATTCGTTTTAGTCAACCAAGTCATTCCATACCATAAAAACCCCACTCTACGTGCCCCTCCTTGCCTTCTCTACAACCCCTTACCATTCTCATTCCAGCCACATCTTTTCTGTGTGAAGTTCTGTCCCTCTTGACTTTTACTTTCCAAATTATCCCCATCTTTCCAGAGCCTTCTCAAATACCACCTCTTCCACGAAGCCTTCTTTGATCCCTCTAGCCCCATAATGTCCTTTCTTTTCTCTGAAGTCTCATTCTATCTATAATCAAGACTGAATTACATGACATATTACTTAAATGCACTCTTACTGAATTATGTGTCATCTCATGTTTCTCGATGAGGGTGTTATTGGCATTTGTAACAGGGCATTTATTGTGCAGGACTGTCTTGCACATTTCAGGACATTTGGCATCCCTGGTTCCTGCTGCTAACTGACAGTGATGGCCCCAAATGCTCTGAATACATTTACAATTGCCCTAATGATTAAAAAGTTCCTTAGAGAAGTTGCTATACCATATACACACCTGTTCAGCAAATAATCTTTGTTTATATGGTGAATGTATATTTTAAAGATAAATCTGTATTTCCCTTACACTTGTCGACATATTAAAAAACTAAGAAAGAGACTAATTAACACTCAAGTGTTAATCACCACGCCATTTTAGGTGTCTTTCATGAGATATTTCATTGAACCTTCACACCAACCCTGGATTTGATATTTATCTTCATATAGATGGGGAAACTGAGGCTCAGAGAGTTCTGCTTATCCAAAGCTTGATTTGAACCCAGGCATTTAAAAGCCCAGGGTTGTTTGGAGCCAAATCTTTGGCTTTTTCTTTTACTACACAGCCTCTATAAAGACAGCCTATCTGTAACAGCTTTGAAATGACTGTGAACATGTAACACAATTAGCAGTCTAAAGCACATTATTAATGCTGATAGGTAGTAATGATTGTAATTGAAAGGAAGCACGTTAGACCAGACAAACAAGTTTGTAGAATTTATCACAAGAATTTATATTGGAGTCTAATGAATGAATTTACTTGCTGACCTTTGCTGCAGACATTAACTCATGTTTGGGCTCTAATTGAGATCTATACATTCTTTACTCTCTTATTGTACTTGTTAATGTTTGTCTTGGCAAATGGCCAATAGATCTCTCTAAATTTCCTTTAGCCAAGTTCTGGGTAATAGATGGCCAAATATGCCTTGTATTAGGTAGCACTGCCAGATCCACAGAAATCTAAGAGCTGGCAATACTTGCTCAGACCTTCCCTTTCTATCATCCAGGCATCTTTAGTAGAAAACCTTATATAAATCAAGTATCACAGTATCATTTAAAATGAGGTATGTATTTCTTTTTCATTGCAGTCCATTATTCATTTCATGCATAGCTAAAATGCCTACATTGATTAGTAGCTTATTTCACTGTGTGGCTAAATGTCCAATTACAATTCTTCACATATCAGCTACCTAGAGTTTAGGAAGGGACAGCGTGGATGGTCCATATGCATAATTTAAAAAGTAGACTCAGTTTCTACTTATGCACATAGGAATAACTGTATTCCCTGTAGTAAAAAAAAAGAAAAGAAATTTCAACTCATTTGAAAGAGCCAGTATTGTTGATTTCAAGTTTTCTTTTTCAGCTTTGAGAATAAATGTTTACCGTGTGTTTATTCTGTTTAGCAAAGAAGGAAAAGGAACTGAAAGTTAAGTTCATAAGTAACTTAGATCAACTTAGATTGTATAAATATCGACAATTTATATTGATATAAAAATATTTTGTTCCTATATTGTCTTATACACCATATCTACTGTATCAAAGCTGCACTTCATTTACTAGTAAAACCATTGTTTAACTGTAACCGCATGGATATTCAGGTGACCTGAAAGCATAAAGAGATGTTTTAGTTATGCTTAGCGGGAAAAACAGGCATTTTAAAAAATCAATCATTTCTTGTAAGAAATTGAGCTTGCTGTTAGCCTTTTTGTCAAAACATTTCCTGAGCACAGTGCATTTTTAGCTTCTGCATGCAGGGCACTGTGTAGAGAGCTGGGGGAGAGGGTGGTGGAATCTTTCTCCACTAACTTTAAAAACTAAGTCCAGGAACGCCTCTCAGTTAGGTGTCTCAGTTGTGAGCAACTATAGAATGCATGGTAAGAAAAGTTTCATTATTGTTTTGACTCATCTTTTCTCAAACTACCTTGTTAAATCTTTTTCATGCAATATAACTCTTAAAGATACCCAGCTGCTCCCTACAGAAGCCAGAAATGGTCTAAATATTTTGGTAGTATTTTCTAGAGAAGCACAAACATTATAAAAGTGAACTTCTAGAGTTTCTGCTTCTATTTCCTTATATCTTAACAGCACCTGAACCGGGACCTGCCCATGATGTGACATCAAATTTTCCCCAGCTATTTTTAGATCTTCAGTTGCTTTAGAGATGAATTTAATATGTAAAGCAGAAGCTGACACTGTGAAACATTTGCACGATTGTATTTTGGTTTTGACATCAGCTAAGCAGGGCAAAGCTGATCCCATCTCACAAGGAGCTCTATCCCACATTTCCTCTGTGGACTTGGAGGTTCAGATTTGCTTACCTGCTTCCTTGAAGATACTGTGCTGTTGAAACCTCTATTAGAGGTTTTTGAATTCAAATTCTTGTTCTTATGGGTTGAGTCATTTTTCCATGTCTTAGAGTTTTCTTTAGGATCTGAAGGAATAGGATTTAAGAAGAGGATCCTAGCTATGAACCCATAGAGGACAGTGGCCAGGATCATCGGCACAACATAAAAGACACCAAAATCCATTAGGTAAATAGGTGAGTAGTAATTCCTGGAGATCTTGTAGCCACAGGACACCACAATAGCATCTTTGTAGGTGCTAATATTGAGATCCAGCAAGAAGAACCAGAGCATACAGTAAATGGATGTGAAAGCCCAGACAAAGATGATGATCTTTTTGGCTCTGGAAAATGTGCAGAGAAACTGGGCTTTGATGGGGTGACAGATCGCTATGTACCTCTCAATGGTAAAGGCTGTGATTGAACAAGAGGATGCATTGATGCCCAAGTACTGGAGGTAAGTAATGCAGAGGCATCCAACATAGCCATAGACCCAGGAACCGTAGATACTGTCTGTTATGTTGGGGAGGCCTGCAGCCACCAGGACCATGAGATCGGCTACTGCCAGACTCACCAGGTAGCAGTTTGTGGGTGTCCTCATGTGCTTGGTTCTCATGACCACCAGGACCACCATGATGTTGCCCACGATGCCCAGACCACAAATAATGAGCACAAGTAGGATGGTGACCACTTGGTATTCTAGGGCCACGACTGCTCGTGGCTGGAGCTGGGTTTGGTTCAGTTCACTTACTGTCTCGTTTTCCATCTTCAGGGGCTTGAAGTTTCTCTAAAACACTTCTTAGAACATCTTCTTTCCAGTGCCCTGCCTTTATCACAGTGCTTCTCTCTCCCTGTGAAGAGGTACAGTCCACGTTCATTCACAGTGTCACCATTTCAGATCAAGTCACAGTCACTTACAGGTAATTCTCACATCCTCTCCTTTCACCTCCCAGTTTTCTGCAGTACTAGGGCTCACAAGTACTTCTGAAAACTCCTTTTATTGCAATTCTAGTGTGGGATGGAGTAACTGTTTCGACTAGCTTATGATAAGAGGGACCCGTTTCCTCTTAATGGAGAAAAATGCTTAAGAAAAGAGAAACAGAAAAAGCTCCCTGTTTTGAAAGAGTGTCCAATGGGAAAAACTAAACCATAACTGCTAACTGAAAAATAAATACAAAGAAATCTCTCAGATGCTTGGGAAAAGTATGATAAAGAAGAAAAAGGCACCAGTGGAAAAGCCAAGAGGCTCAAAGATCCAGCTGGGTAGGCATTTAGCCTTTGCCACCTTTGTTTCCAGAGGGGGAGATCCCTTTGCTGCCTCTCCCCGTGCCCCCTGCCCTACAAGCTCTATAGAGAGCCATTTCGCCTCTTACCTTTCCTCTGTAGCGCTGCCTGCTTTTCCGGGTAGATGAAGCAGTAATAAGTCCAAGTTTCCAATCCTGGAGAAAACCTCCTCCACTTAACTTAAGAGCGAGGCCACTGAGCAGTGCTCAGTCTTCAGAGCTGCAGTTCCTCTAAACCCTCGCAGCCCTTTGCAACTGATGACAGACCATACAGCCGCAGCAGCAGCAGCAGGAGCAGCAGCCGTGAGGCTGTCAAATCATAGATCGTCCCCTAATGAGAACACGCGCGCTCTGGCTCGCTCGCTCTCTCACACACAGACACATATTCACGCACGCTCACACTCACAAATGCCAGTCAGTCTTCACTGATGCTTAATTCTCTCCCCTTGAAGGATTGACTTTTAAAGGTGCTGATGATACAGCCCTCAATCTGGAAGGCTGAAAATCACAAGCAAGAGGTCCAGAGGCAGCTGGTCTTGCAGGTGCTTATAGTGTAAGTTCTGCAGGAACCCCAGTACTTGAGGGACCCTGAAATATAGGTTCACTCCCTGTTTAATAGGACTTTGGGGAGAGTAAATCCTTCTCAGTCCAGACTTCCAGTCCCTTGAAGCTTGAAATATCTGTCTGAGCTTAAATCAACTTCTTTCTCTACTATCGAAACCCCGAGCCACTTCTCCAGCAAATCAGTAAAAGTGGCTCCCTCTTCTCATATTACATGAAGAGAAAATGAGTTAAAATTGATTTTAAACTATTTCAGCTGCAATCTTCTGAGGCTTATAAAGATATTATTATTATTATTTTTAAAAAACTGTTTGAGCTAAGAACATCAGTTTAAACCTGCGTATGATCTGTTAAGTTTGCTTTTCAGCTCTGGCTCTGCACCACTTTATAGAGCTTCTCCGGCTGCTCTGGGCGCCTCTTCCCTCTTCGTCCATCTTCTGGACCATCAACCACATGTACCGCCCAGCAATTGTTCGTGTCGATTTATTTCTAGGTGAAAACTCATCCAGTGGAAATCTAGGCCAGTGCCGTTCTGGTACCACATCTCCAAAACAAAACTTTATAGACCCATCTTTTTTTTTTTTTAGAAAAGTGCACTTCAGCTTGATTTTTAATTCTCTAAAGGAGCCTGTAGGCAAATCTTTATACTTTTTTATGGAAACTCAGAAAACATGTCTCCTTTCTCCAGACGCTAACCGACTCCACTGAATGTTAATGTTTGTCCACTTGTATTTTACTAAATGACAAAGAAAACCAGCCCTTCACTGAATTCCCTATAAGGTGAACTGGTTACTTCTCTATTTTAAGAAAGTTAGATGTTCATCCTTCTACCAGATGTCAGTGAAAGAATAGATTTTGAGAAGTTACAGGACCTTGGAGGTATCAAAACCATGTTCAAGGCTGGATAACAATGAGACGAAGGCAAAGTTCTGGATCATATTGGAGAACTCTACCCTCTGAACCATGGAGGGCTAATTGAATATCTACTTCTTCCAAATCATCTGAAGTTAGAAATTGATGAGCTATGACCCAGATTCAGCTTTCAGACATGTATTGTTTGATCTGCACAGTGTAGGCTCAAGTGTGATTTAAAACAGTTTGATTATTGTCTACCTTTCAAAATTGAGAAATTGTATACTAAACCTGGATTTCTCCCTCTCATAAAAATTAGAAAGGTCTGGCAATCATGGACCCATATTCCTGCCTAGAAATTACCATCCGAAGCTGAGTAGTGGTTGTAGGTAGCAGTTTGTGAGGGTCCTTGATACAGGATGGGCCCTCTCTTACTTTCCTCACTCCATGTTACCTCCCTCTCATCTGTCACACGTGCCAAGTTCACTCAGTAATTGTACATACCTGGCCTCTGTAGCCATTTGAGTTTTGACCTCTGTATCACACGAGAGTTCCTGAGAGAGACAATGGAGGGTAGCAGCGAAGTGCAAATTCTTTTACCCTGAGTAGGATTTCTGCCCCTGTTCTAGTTTGTTCTCCCAAATGGTTTAGCAGACTGGGCAATCAATGCCCACTTTACATCTCTTGCTGGCCTACATGACAGAGATTACTCTGAACACCTCATTTCTTGCCTAGTTTTCTTTATTTTGGAATGAAAAATGCTTTCTAAGGTAAAGGCATTGCCTCCCTACTCCATCTCAACCCCACCACCTCCAACCAAAAATACCTCTTGAAAAGTCATACTTCATAACGGCCCTTTAACCTCTAATTCTCTCCAGGATTTTAGCTTTCAGGCCTCCTAAAAAGACGTTACTTCAAGTCTTCTACTTGGGTAGTAAAGATGAGGGGAGAGAACATCTAGAATGTTATCTGCTCTGGCAATTCCACCTCCATGACAAATGTTTTCTTATCACCTTCTTCAGCATTACTATGTGAGGTCATCATCCTTAGTCTCCTTTTTGTGTCTCTATGCATTCTTTTAGCACATAATTGTTAAGCTTCTACTATGTACCAGGCACCTAGTATATACAATTTCATTTTTATCTTCACATAGGTTATGATCTATTGGGAGAAGCAGTTATAAACAGTTACATGGAGATATGCACTAAAAATGTATGTTGAGAGGCTGTAGGTTGTGGAGGGGAAGGCATTCATGGGTGGTGGGGGCAATGGACTGAGGGACCAGGGAGGACTTCAGAGGCAAGGTGACCTCTTAGAATAGTCTTGAAGAAAAGTACAGTTTCCTTTTGGTACGTGGCAAGAGTGAATATATTCTGACTGGAGATGATAGGATATATAAAGCCCAACTGTGTAAAATGGCAAGGATTTTGGGGGGCAAGCGAGCAATTTTATGGTCCTGCTTTGGCCACGAGGAGTTTGAGCTGTTGAGACAACTACTGATGACCACCAGGCAGCTTTTCTAGTAAGGAGCCCTCCCTTCTGCTCTGACTCAGACCATCCTTGATTCCTCCTCCTCTCCCCCGGGGGAGTCCCAACTTCTGACTTCATTATCTCAGACTTGCCTGTTCACTATGGTCTTATCTGTTCTCAGTCAAATTCATGCGTTTTGCAAAATTATGTTTTCAAAATAACTATGATTTCATAAGGTAAGGTTTTTTTTTAACTTGTAAGCCTCAATCAGATAATATGTAATAAATGCTCCCTATGTGTAAAGAACTGCACAAAAATAGAGTATAATTAGAATAAACGTTTACATTTGAGTTGAGATTTTTTTTCTCACAGTATCTTAAGTTCTAACCAACTGCAGCTTTTATATCTTTTGACTACCTTTCACTGGGACAAATGCAGCCTTTGCAAAAGTCCAGTGGCATCCGTTTTGAAAAAAGGTTGGTAAGTCATGGCCACGGCAGTGTAGACGGCAAACCCCAAACGCTGCACACACTTCTCTTGCCCACCTTCGGTCTTGCCCTGTTTCCTCTGACTTTATGCCTACAGCCAGGCCTTCTCACTATGTGCCACTTGGCTAGCATCAATAAAAACGAGCATCAGACTTCACAGGCTCCTTTATAAGAATGTCCTTGGACTCTTAGCTGAGACTGTTTTTTTGGGTCTGGCCTCAGATTTGCCCCTTGAGCTGGTGGGAAGATTTGGCACTTCTGCTTCCCTGCCTTTGCATTCCCAGTCAGATGGCATGCTCTCAGTATCTGGCTTTCCCTTCCCTGGCTACCCCAGGAAACCATGCGCTTGGCCAAGTCTCTGTCACTGGGACACAGTGGCTGACATGATAGCCACCTGCTGGGCCTGCCTGTCTCTACACAAGAGGAATTCAGGCAAGCCCTACCCTTATCTCTAGAGAATCTTAGCTACTAGGTAGTAGGTGGCTGTCCAGTGGTTTTCATGGACACAGTAGACAGATGATTATTTATGCTATCAGCATTTCTCAAACTTTAGCATGCATCTAATTCTCCTGGAGAGCTTGTTAAAACCTTGATAAAACTGTCCTCAAATTGCTGTTTTGGTAGCACTAGGATGGACCTGAGTCTATGCATTTCCTATAAACTCCTGGCAGTGCTGATGCTCCTGGCTTGTGGACAATGCTTTGAGTAACACTATACGATATGATCTAGTTCAATGGTTTTGGTGTGGGAGGTGGGGAGCAATGATGAATCACCTAGAGAGAGTTTCAAAAATGTACATACTAGTTTAGCCCTTCTAGATATTTTGGGTTTCAGTGTGTTTCCTAGGATTGGACTAGGGCTTGAGAAAGAAATTGGGACCCTCGATAAAAGCAATTGACTTGTTCTTCTCCTAAGTGTATATCACTCTCTATCTTGTGCTGTCATAACTGGAGCTTGGCTTGGCAGCTGGGGCATTGTTGGGAAAGAGAATATCTATGCTCCCTACAGGCAAGCAGCACTAGGGTCAGAGAAAGTGTAGAGCATCCAGCTAGGATGCAGTGGTTTGCAGGATCCAGACCAGGGTGAGGAGAGGGCAAAATTTAAGGAGGCACCAAAAAACCTCAGCAATTAATGTAATCAATATATAATGCAGTATTTTTAAAAAATTAAAGTTAATGCAAAAAGTCTTTGATGAATAAAATATCAAAATTTTAAATAAAGACAATAGCAATATTATGAATTTTCCATTTTCTCAGGCTCCAAGTACTGATCCTTTATTTAAAATTTTGATATTTTGCTTATTATGGATTATTTTGCATTCGATTTGATTTTTTAAAAATAGTACATTAATGTTGTGTCTTGATTACTGGTTTTTTGGAGTCCCCTTAAATTTTGTAGCCTCCCTTGCCTCACCCTATTCCCTGCCTTCTCATCCCTGGCTGAATTTCAGAATCATCCAGAGAGATTCTAAAAATACAGATACTTAGGTCTCTCTCCCAGGTATTCTTATTTAATTAGTCAAGAAGTGAAGCCTAAGCTTTGGTAGGTACGATGATGGTCAAGAACCACTGAGCTACAGCAACAAATGTTGGTCTCTAGAAATGAGGGATTGGTGATATGTGGTAGCCCAGGCAGCAGAAAGGCCAAGGAGGTGAAATAAACTGGATGCAAGTAACCTGGAAAGATTCAGAAAGGTGACAACATCAGAAAACTTTGGCAACCGAAAGCTGGCATAAGACTCTGTTGTTGAGAGAAGTTGTATAACTATGCAGGTTTCTAGGTTTTGAATTGCTGAGTGTGGTGTCATCTATCAGTTAAGATTCAGACTCAGAAACTATGGCGAAGACTTGGTCACTGCAATTGGGATATATGGTCTGGGTTCTGGAAGAAGAAAACAAAGTCAATGCATTTGATGCTGAGTCACCAAGATACTGAGCTCAAGATCCTTCAATTTCCTCTGTTCAGGTGTAAATTTCATCACAGAGCCTGGAGTAGAATGCGGCATTTGGCAAACTTTATAGAAAAAATGTCAAAGTCCATTTTTGCTGTAATTTACAGCTACAGAAAATTGTTGGCTGTTGATCAACAAAGGAAAATACTTTATGTAATGGGATTATGAAGTTGTGTTTGTGCTTATTGGAAAAGGCATGAAATCTTGTTTACTCTGAAAGGTAAAATAAGCCATACAGTAATATTGTGTATTTTGGGTACAAGCTGCCCTTCCTTCCTATTTCTCTACTGTATATCCTTTTATATTTCCTGGTGTCCACTTTTGTGGAGAAAATAGGATCTTAGATTTAAAAACAAAGTGCAGTAGAACTCTACCTCAAAGTATTTAAAAATGAAAAAGTATAAACACACACACACAGCTCC